AGAAGGTAGTGAGGCAAGGAAAATAAAAAAGGTCCAGATTGTTGTGACGCATATTTTCAAAAACAGAGTGGCACGTGAAAAAGTCATGTAAAGAACTGTATGTAAAAAAGCCTGCCTATGTTTCATCCCCAAGCTGTAAACATAGACAGCAGGAGGCGTGATCAGGGGTGGGAATCATCAGTACAGCCCCCTAATCACCATGCTGGAACGACAATTGTAACTCTAAGCGCCAAAAAGTGCCCGTTTATATAATTGTTCAGCTTTTATGATAAAAACAAGACCCATCCCCCTCTCATTTCTTCCCGAAAAAACCCAGGTAATTATGCTAAATTTAAAATGACAAAATTTTTCTAATGAAAAATTACTTTTAGAAAAGCAAATACAGGCAGTCTACAAAATTCAATGATTTTGTTTGACTACCTCAAAAAAAAAGAAAAAAAACGCAACTCACCGGTATTCTCTGTTTGCTTCGGAATTCGCCAACTTTTTGCAAGAAATCCTCACCCTCCACAATAGCTGTTGCTGGTACAGCAAGCTGCAACACAAAAAATATAACTTCAAAATTCGGCCAAAAAGTATGGTACCAAAAAAAACAATTTCTGGAAATTTCTGAAAAAATCCCAGGCAGGAAAAATCAATTTAAAAAGTACCATAGCAGGATAAGTATCAGCAAAATCATATCGATCATTAATCCTCGTGATTCGCCATGTTTCGTTCGGTACATGCTTTAAAAAAAGACACGACATACGTATTAATCATATTCAAAATTCCAAATTTCCCTCCCCCTCTCCCCCTCCAAAAAAAAAGAAAAAAAAAACAAAAGAGATTTTTCCGACAAGTTAATTTCTATAAAACTGCCACAGAAAACACAAAAACACCAAAAAAAGCTGTTATTTTCAACAAAATAAGACTTTGTTCCTCTCACCATTCGATTGAATTCACGTATCGTATCAAAGATATTCCAGCCATCAATCGTCCATTCCGGCTTGTAGAAAACAGCAAAGAAAGGCTGAAACGGTAGTGCTCGAAGTACGAAAATGAAGTTAATTCCACTCCGGAAATAAACTTTTTTTCAATTTTTCCACAGAAAAAACGCTCAATTTCTCGGATTCTCAAGCTTTTATATTACAGAAATATTAATTTTTAAAAACAAAATCCTCTTCCATGTTCGTTCCTAATTTTACACACGCACTGTCCTGGTATCTTTTTCAAAAATCTCCCCAACTGTAAAAAAAATTCAAAATTTGAAGAAAAATTTTTGTCCTATTTTAGAATTTTAAAATAACAAAAAACTAAATGGAAAAAATCCTTGATCATAAGTGGAAAATCATCGAAAAAAAAATCCTTGATCAAAAATTAAATGGAAAAAATCCTTGATCGAAAAAAATCTTTGATTATCCCAACTTATAAACTGCCCTATCAAGTCAATTAGTTATAGAGGAGCAAATGATTTATTCAATATCAAATGCTAAGATATTTATTAGGTTGTCGCGTAATAAACTAAATAATGATTAATGGTTTTTGTTAAAAATAGATTAAAGATCAACGGCGTCATAGTAACGCAGTTGATCTTTAATCTATTTTTAACAAAAACCACTAATCATTATTTGGTATATTACGCGATAAGGTCTAAGCAGCATTATTAATGTTATTCCACAAGTAAATATTAGATATAAGTGTAGTAAATTGAAAATATTAAACATTGAAAATCTATGGTAAATTGGAAAAATAAAAAAAAATTCAACTGAGCTTACGGCTTTATTTGTAACAGGGAATGCAAATCGCTGCAAGCTTTCGTATAGTGGTCGTCTGCTGTGATTCGTTTGTTGATGCGTAAATCGTATATTTCGCATATCCTACGAAAAGGATCACTTTAAATTGTTATATAAATCAAAATTTGAATTTTAATGAGAGACGGAGGCACTCGGGAAATAATCTAAATTGGTACCATGTACAACCACACGCTAGAAAAATTGTCAACCCCCCTACCCCCTTTTTTTAGAAGTTTACTTAAAAGGAAGCCGACAGCAGTTTTGTCTCTCTGACAAGTTACCATCGAAAGTTTTGTCTCTCTGACAAGTACCAGTACCAAGTTACCATCGAAACGAATCAATGGTTCGCCTCTGCTTGGTTCTATGGATGAATTTGAACCCTCAATCATCAGCACGGGAGTAACGCCATTATTCCCACAGTGCTATTTCACCAGTCAAGACTATTGCTAGGCAAA